TGCACGGGGCAGGGCCGCGCGCATTGCAGGCCCCTCCCGAGGCCGCTCCCTGGCGCGCAGGTGCACAGCTGGGTGCCTGCTCTGAGTCGCCTGCCTTGCCAGCCAAGATTGCAAAAGTAAAATACATTTTTTAAAAGGCAGGGCGGAGAGCCTAGGCCTCAGACCCCTGAAGCCGGGCTGGAAAACAGGCCCGGGGTCCTGCGGGGAGAACGGGACATCTGGGAGCCTCTTGGTTCCCAGGGGAGCAGCGCCCGCCCCGTCAGGAGCAAACGCCTTAGCTGTGAGCCAGTGCGGTGCGAGCTGGGTGCACGTAGCCGCACGGCCACCGGCCACCGGGGAGAGGGCGGCCGTGTGCCTGTCACTCACGAAGGAGCATCGAGCCGACATGTGTCATGTTCCTTCATGACATCACACCCTCTGGGTAGCTGGCCCAGAGGCGGCCATTCCTTGAGCCTCTGGGGAGCACTGCCAGGGAGTGTGTGCACGTTGAGGATTTCCTCCTGAATGGGAACTAGGAGGTCCCCGGGTGAGCAGTTTCTGGCTTAAACCCTTTTCGGTCCAACCGGGAGGCTGACTCGACAGACCAGGCGCTAGGAGCAGGTCCAACGGTCGGGGCTGAGGTCCACACCGCAAACCGGTTCAACAGTCAATCCCGTCAATTAATTTGGGCCAGACTGTTGGAATTCCAAAAATAAAATTGGACCGCAAAGGGTTGGGTTTCAAGATGAAGAGCTGTTTGGAGCCCGGGCTGGGGCAGGGGCACAGTCCCTTGCACCGAAGGATTGCTGGTTCCATTCCGGGCAAGCACGTGCCTTGGTTGCAGGTCCCTCCTGGCCCGGACACATACAGGAGGCAGCCGATCGATGTCTCTCTCTCTCCCCCTCCCTCCTCCTTCCCTCCCTCCCTCCCCCTTGCAACGCCCTGGAGGAGCTGAACAGCAGTGTAAATGAACTGTGCACTTGAAGTGGTTAAGATGGTGAACGGTGTGCTACGTGTACTTCACCACAATTACAAAGTAGGCATCCCTGCCTTCCTGGAGGGAAAGGAAATGCTAGAATGAGAATCACTCTCTGAGAGCCGCCCAAGCAAGTGCTCAGCACAAACTCACATGGCAGGGCCTGTCCCCTCCCACTGCTCTCCTGAGGAAGGCTCTGCCAGCGCCCGATGGCCTGATGGCCTGCGTCGCAGGGTCCCCGTGGCACACCGGCCTCATCTCTTGGCTGACGCCCTGTTCCCACCCGCAGATCCTGAACCAGGCCCTCGGCACCATGAACCCCGCCCTCAGCATCGCTCTCCTGCTGACAGGTACCGGGCAAGGGGTGGCTGGGAGCATCCTGGCTTCCTTCCTTTAAGAAGCTAGCTTCTTCCTCCTGGCCTGGGAAGGTGGGGATGACTATGGAGGGAGGGCTCTTCTTTTTTTAAAATAGATTTTTATTGATGTCAGAGAGAAACATCCATGAGGAGAGAGAACCATGGATCGGCTGCCTCCTGCACACCCATACCAGGGATCGAGCCCACAACCCGGGCCTGTGCCCTGACCGGGAATCGAACCCATGACCTCTTGGTTCCTGGGTCCAAGCGCAACTGCTGAGCCATGTTGATGGGGCAGAAAGGCGCTTTTTCATCCCTACGTCAGCGGAGCCACCTGGTTGGCCTGGCGGCCTGGGGTGGTTTGGGAAACAGTTCACAGAGCCCACCCCGCATGGCGTGGGAATCTCCGCTGGGAACCAGGAACCTGTGTCACCTCCCCAGGGTGTCCGGCCCCTGGGGCACGCGGTGGGACCAAGCCTGGGGTGCCTGAGGGGGGCTAGGCTCGCAAGGGGTGTGGAGGGGTGCTCAGGAGGCACCCCCTGTGCCCCTGGCCGGGCCCACTCTGCTGTGAATGTGGAGGGAGGCCTCCTGTGGGGCAGCCCCCCGCCCCCCGGCTCAGAGGGGGCGCTCTGGGCCAGGCTTGCAGGTGGCCGGCGGCCAGAAGGTGACCAGCCTCACGGCCTGCCTGGAGGACCAGAGCCTGCGCCTGGACTGCCGCCACGAGAACACCACGACCGTGCCCATGCAGTTCGAGTTCAGCCTGACCCGCGACGCCAAGAAGCACGTGCTGTTCGGCACCATCCCCGAGCACACGTACCGCTCCCGCACCAACTTGACCAACAGGAGCACCCTCAAGGTCCTCTACCTGTCCGGCTTCACCTCCAGGGACGAGGGGCTGTACACCTGCGAGCTGTACGTTCCCGGCCAGCCCCCCAGCTTCTCCAACAGGAACGTCTCTGTGCTCAGAGGTGAGCAAGCCCCTGAGGAGGCCAGGTGAGCCGGGGAGGCTGCAGGGCGAGCAGGAGCAGGCAGCGCCTTCACCTCTCCCCTTCCTGTGCCCTGGGGAATCCCTGCCTTCAGAGCACAGGGGGGGGGGG